CGAGTGTGTGTGTGTGTGTGTGTGTGTGTGAGTGTGAGTGTGAGTGAGAGTGAGAGAGAGAGAGAGAGAGAGAGTACCTGTAGGGGAGCAGGGAAACAGCTGAGAGTGTGAGAGGCCCAGTTATGAGGTGTGAAGTTCATGATGGTCTGCAGGATGTCCTTACACCAGGTGCCCTGAATAGAGTCCGAGCCAGTGAAGAAATCTGCACCACACACAGACGGGGGATTTGGCACATTAGTTAGGTATAAACCGATTTTGAAAAATAATACTATCAGAAGTTATTTTAAGCATGTTGCCTGCACAACGGAAACAAACAAATAAATACAGGCACTTTATGTAAATATTTATAGTGAAATTAAGTTACTCAGCCAAATGCTATGTGACAAAACTAAACATCAGGTCAGTTATGTAATGTGCTTGTGTTAATGGTGTGAAATACCTGTGACATGTGTGGCTCGAGCCAGCGTGAGGATCAGCGCTCGGTTCAGCTCCTCTGACTCGGCAGACAGCACTGTTTTAGGGTCATTGAGGAAGCGTGTGAACTGCGGCTGAACCTCTGAACTCCCCAGAGCCGTGATCAACCTCAGAGCGGTACTCTCAACACTGCTCACACAAACACACAGACTGTGACTGGAGCAATGCACTGCCATACCACAGCTACTAAAGCTGCAGGACACAGTGTGTATAAGTTGTAAGATGTAAGTTAGCTTTAAACTGTAGGCTTATCAGTTAGTTTGAAGCACTTAAGTTGGATTGTGCACTTCTAACGCAGCAGCCCACTCTGTTCACAACATTAAAGGGGTCATGAATTGAGAAACTTACTTCAAAGTCTTCAACGCGGCACACTCATAATAACCAGCGTTTCTCAAGCCGGCCTTAAAACCAGGGTAGAAAATAGCCTATTACTTATTGATTTAGATGTTTTTGAATGTCAAAACCACACTAATGTCATAAGTGGACCTCAGACAACAATATAAAATAATTTTAAAAAGCCAGTTCATGACCCCTTTAAAGTATATCTATATTAAAGTATAAACTCTACATTTCAGAGTGTGTTACGCACACACAGAAGTTAAAACAATTTTCGGTATGAATGTGTGTACTGTTACGCTCCTACAAAGTAGCAATTTTATTTCCAAGATATCCATGATAACTAGCCGCCACTTGCTGAATGAAGCGTACTGTAGTGAGGTCATGTGACTACAATGTGACTGCAACGCTTCCAGGAAAGCTTTAAAATGTTAGTCATCATGAGCAGTCTGTGATAACTATTGTTTTGTTCATTAACTTTAAGCATAAAGTAGGGGAGATACTAGCCGTGTCCTCCGGAAAACACATTTGTCGGCCACATACATCATCAAGGCTGCTTTAATTCAAAAAAGTAACCATTACATTCCAATGCAAAAAAGAAATCTTAATTCTTGCCTCAAGAGGATTTTATAATGGCAACTGTTTTGAAATGATACTTTCTTCATTGACGTATACGACCGACAAATGCATCCTCCGGAGGACACAGCCTTCGACGTGAGACACATGAACTGTGTGTGTGGGCGGAGCCTCACCAGAGGTGCAGCTGGTTCTGATTGGTCTGCGGAACAGCAGCGAGCGAGTGAAGGTGTGACAGGAGCTGCACGCGGTAATGAGGCTGAATGTGGTGCATGCGGTAACTGAACATCTCCAGCAGCGTGTGCAGAATCCCCCACGCGTGCGACTTGAACACGTTCGGCAGAAGCTGACCTAGTGGAGGAAGCACATACAGTCACAGTTTCAAAGGTCAAAAACATGTGCCGTGACACGTGCATCAGACTTACTGATAAAGCCCTTAATGCCGAGGGACTCGATCTCCATGTAGACCAGCAGTCGGCTGTACGTCTCCACCAAGGCTGGGGCCAGGGCTAGACTAGACTTGGCGTGGGCCAGTTTAATGACACGGGTTGCAATGCTGTGGATCAAGCTAATGGGAAAAACAAAAGGTCCTCTGAGAATGTGGTACTATGCATGAATGAACACAACTACAATACAGTCGTGGTTTGCTGAAGACACCTTTATGCACAGCCTTAGAGTAACTCATGACAGAGCAAAGAGAGCATCATGTGTCGTTAAAGTGAGTAATGCCTTGGTATGATAAACCTCTCCAATACAAAAACGTCAGACCAAGGGTCAGCGCCGACCTCAATCTCAAACACAGAAACACCAGCTACTCAACGTGTAGTCCCTATAACAGATGACACAATTAAATTGTGGCGCTTCTAATCAAGTGATAAAAAGCAGTTGTACAAAGTAATCATCACTACTACTCATTTGCACGAATAAAGCGTGCAACTCTTTTGTTTTACTACCAAATTATATGTAATATCTAACTATTAATAATATTTAGCATACATTGGTAAGGTTTCCGTGACCTCTCGCGAGATCTCGGCAAAAAGTCTCACGGTTTATTTCCACAACATGATGCATGATGGGATACACTAAGCCTCGAAAACCGCTCCGGAGTGTGCGTTAAGAGCACTGTGCTTTGGTGGAGGAGCCTGTGCACTCTACTTCTGTATCGTGACCCAATACGCCCACAGTGCTCAAGAATCAGGGATAAGTCCTCCATGTCCAGCAGTGGCTGAAGCACCTCCAGAGGCGGGAATGTGCATAGGAGAATCCCTTAACATGCACCACTCCATGAGGAGCACAGCAGGAGTCCACCAAACCACACCTCGTGAAGTGAATAAAGCACTTCGTCCTACTCTGAAATGAGGAACTGAGGGCTGAACATGTCCTCCTTCACTTTCAAGAGTGTCTTGTTGTTCTGGAAGAGGTTGTGCACTGGTTACCCATCTGTCAGCATGTCAGAGGATATAACGCAGCCTCTTGTAATCATAACATGACGTGCATGGCTAGTTTCAGTCATGCTGTTAGCTGGCAGTGCAGACAGTTGTTTAAAAATGGATGATACAGAATTATTGCATTTGCCAAAGTAATGGCATGAGAAAATTATCGTGCAGAATCTGAACATAAAGGTCTGTGCTTTTGTTTAATTTTGCCAGAGTTTGTTGGTGTGGTTCTGAACGGCGTGAACAGTACTCAATATCAGATGAAAGCACTGGAGCCTTTCCTACTATGGTAGTTTCGTGCCATAAAAGATAATATTTGGCTAATTTATTTGTTCTATCGCATGCATCATGTCCATCCTATTAAAAATCTGCACCATGTCAGTGCATACACATATATACACACACACACACACACACACACATATATATATATATATATATTTAAAATAGGGGTTGTACTGTAAAATTAAACACTGGCCAGTTGGCCAGTGGCAAACGCTGGATTCAATGGTGCCAGCAGCACAAATCTTGGGCTGTGGACAATGTGAAACATGTACCGTTCTCCGAGTCCACCTTCACGGTCTTTCCCACATCCAGGAGAGCTATGGTGAGGATAAGAGGCTCAACAGCCAGACAGATGCACACCCAGTGTGAAACATGAGGGTGGATTAGCGATGGTTTGGACTGCATTCCCTAGAAACATGTGCACCCAATGTTTCAACATTGTACCCTGAAGGTGGTGCTGTGCATCAGCATGATAATGCACGCATACACACAGCAAGACTGGTTTGATGAACATGAAAGTGAAACTGAACATCTCCCATGGCCTGCACAGTCCCCAGATGTGAATATTATTCAGCCACAATAATTGGGGGGTTTTGGAAGAGTGAGTCAGGAAACGTTTTTCTTCACCAGCATCACGCAGGTTCAAGTGACCCAATTCTGATTTTTTTTCCTCCCATGTGGCACAGATCGGATATGATCCTCAAACGTGCAAGCAGGAAAAAAGCACATGGATTCCGATATTCTCAGATGGGTATGAGGTCTCATTCATCTGCAGAAATAAATCTGATAAGAATCGGATACGTGCATTAGTGTCTGCCATGTAAGCGGACATACTGGATATTCTCCTGTCAATGCAAAGTCATACATCATTGAAAAAGCGATTCTGAAAACCGCGTAAAAATGCGACTGGGCTAGTTTTGGATAGTTTTGAATAGCAACTGACCCTTCGCAAAGACCCGGTCCTTAGTTACCGTTGCTATGTCTTAGTTAATTACTCAGCTGGGAAAACATGGTAAAATTTTCAAATCTATGTCTTGTTTATAAAATTATTCATGGTTTATCATCCCCTCCTCTCCATCAGTTTGTCAACATCCGAACAGCTGATCATAGCAGAACCAGAGGTGCAGCGAGGGGAGATTGTATCATTCCCTTTAGGAAAAGTGTATTTGGCCAAACCGCCTTTTCTGTTTGAGCTGCTATTGAGTGGAACCTCACCCCCATAAATATTAGAAACCTAAACATATATAGTACATTTAAGATCCAGTTAAAGAAATGGCTCATTGATAATCAGAGCTGTCAACATTAGCTTACTACTACACCTGCTCTCGCTGCCTCCTGTTGGTTTTTTTGCTTTGTGTGTGTGTATGTTCATGTATTTATCTGATGTTTGTCTGATTGTTGGTCTGTTGCATTTCTATTGTACATCATCGCTTAATAGTACTTTTTACTAAATGTATTGTAATTGTTTTATTGTTATGTTAATATGTAATTTTATTCTCTTTTAGGGTGACTATTACCATCTGTCTAGGGACTGCAGGTGAAAAATAGCCTTCTGGCTAATTCTGGCATATTGACAGAAATGTTTATTAATATGCATTGTCCCTGTAATAAATAAATAAATAAATAAGTTAAATGTCTATGTCTTAGCTTGCTTAGTTACAAGCCATGCTGCTCTCATGCCACACATCATGTTCTCACGCAGTGAAAAATACATTGCGGCGCAAAGAGGACACTGACAGACAAGACAGAGCAGGTTACTTTAGGTTACTTTCAAATTTTTTAATTTTTTAATAAATTCAAACAATAAATACAGTTTTATGGCTCTTTAATGTGTCGTGACATTGCTATAGCAACTCAGTTCAAGCGGCACGAGAACCGATCATCTCCTCTTTACTTCACTCATTACAGCTCCAAATAAACATGAATGAACATCAGAAGGAATCTCGTTTCAACCGCGGAAAGACGTCAATGCACACCAATGTTAATCTGCTCTTCTGTCTGGTTTGTTTGTCGGACAAAAATAGTAGATTCTGTATTTTGATTGGTCAGATCGTCTGTCAACCTGCCAGTACGTCTACCCAGGGTTGTTTCGCCCAGTGGATAGTGTAAAAGCAGATATCGGATACAGGTCACTTTTAAAAGATGATGTATGCTGAACAAATCGAAATACATCCGTAGTGACCTGGCCACTGTTCTACAAAGGGAACGGCTAAAAATCCCTCTGGCCACCGTGCAGGACTTCTATCTGTCAAGAACTGATGCTCTATTGGCTGCAAAAGAAGGTCCTACAACATACTAATATATTTTTGTGGTCTAAAACCAGATCTAAATCCACCGCAAAAGTATTGATCGTAAGATTTTAAGATGCTGACGTTCTTGTAACACAAATAGACATTTGTAATTGCAGTTTTTAAAATCATGATGTTATACACATTCATATACATTTTTTTTACATTTTTGTCGGATTGCTGGCATCGAATTAGGCAGATACTCAAGATTGCAGTCTCACACAGGAATCAGATATGAAAACATGACATGACTTAGTCTCATGATATGATTGAGGAGCAGTCAGACCAATGAGATTTCACAGAGGATGGGAACACCCAGTGAAAGCAACCAACTGGGACCCAGAGAAGTGTCCTGTTAGTAGTCACGGCTAAAACTAATTTACATGTAAAAGATTAGTTGGAGTATCTCCTCTCACCTCATCTTAGCGTGGACAGTGAGGGAGTCCAGCAGGTTCATAGGTAAAGGTGTGACAGAGCCAGATGCCATGCAGTTGGTGCCAGGCAGAGTGATGCGCATGCTGCCGTTACCGTAGATGGTCTCCACCAGCACACCCATGGGCAGGGTGAAGCACTCAGAGTTTGTGGAGTACGCGTTACACAGCAGAGCGATCTTATAGTCGGTCATGGGCAGACTCTTATTGCGCAGACTCTGCTGGAGAAACCTGAACACAGAGAGGAACAGGAAGCGGGTGAGCTGCTGGACTCACTGAGCCGTCGGTGCATGTGTGTGAGTGAGTGAGTGAGTGAGTGAGTGAGTGAGTGAGTG